GAAATGGAAGGTTGAATTGGACATAATTCTTGACACGTTTAATAATGTGTTGTACCTTAGACTTTGTTAGAATATTTGTTCTACATCTTGAGTGTAAATTTAAGAAGGCTGAGAATGAGCTTATAGATATAAAAACAGTAAGTTGTCTCCCTATATTAACAGCATATTTGATTTTTGCATATTCTCACTGATCAGCTCAGTGGATAAGAGTTTTTGGAATCATATTTAAAAACTTTAAGCTTATAGCTATGATATCATAAAGTTATTAGCTGTAAAAGATACTTTTTAAAAAATAAGAATAGATTTGTTTTATTATAGGATAATTTGTGTTGAGATGAACATTATTCCCAATTTTATGCCTCAGAATGTATTCACTGCAATTTGAAAGTGACCTTTGTAATTTGTTGGTTCACTTAAATTTGCCTTTCTGTACAGTATAAAATATATATATGTAGTTGGGCTGTCTTCTAAAAATGTAAATCTAACCTGAAATCCATTTGAAAATGACTGCTTTGTCTCCCCTTCAAGTCAATGATACACTTGATGACATCTTTGATGGCTCTGATGAAGAAGAAGAAAGCCAGGATATTGTGAATCAAGTTCTTGATGAAATTGGAATTGAAATCTCTGGAAAGGTATAAATGTCTTCTTCTTTGCTTAGTTAGAAATAGCTTCTACCACTTTTGTCACTTAATTGCTTTAAATTGTCCTTTCCTGTTAGGGGAGCCCTGGTGGCACAGTGGTTAAGATCTCTGCTGCTAACCAAAAGGTTGGCAGTTCGAATCCACCAGGCACTCCTTGGAAACCCTAGAGGACAGTTCTCTGTCCTGTAGGGTCACTGTGAGTTGGAATCGACGGGAGGACAACGGGTTTTTTGGTTTCGTGTTAGGTGCATGTTTTTACATTTGTTTGAGAAGAAAATTAAACTTCTTTGCAGCACATCCTTTCTTGCTGTTGTTAGTTGCCTTCGACCCCAACTCATGGCGTGTCCTAATCCAAATGTTTGATAATGTATCTTTTTTTTATCTTCTCCTTTCTTTCATATAGATGGCCAAAGCTCCGTCAGCTGCCCGAAGTTTACCATCTGCCTCTACTTCAAAGGCAACAATCTCTGATGAAGAGATTGAAAGGCAACTCAAAGCTTTAGGAGTAGATTAGACAACAAAGTCGTAATATTTTTCTTATTTAATATTGTGTAGTATAAACCAGGCACAGTGCAGATTCCTTTTACAAAACAAGTTTATTTTGCAAAAATGAAGACCATGAGTGAACAGTTGTTTCCTAACCCATGGCTATTTTGAATCTTTTGCCAAAGAATGACGATGCAAAAATGGGAACAGTTCGGATTTTAATTACAACTGTTTAGGAGTGATGATCTGCAAAAAGTTGACTTCTTTTCTGCATGGCATAGAGAAATTATATTCATTACTTAGTGTCAATTTATGTTCTCAATCTTTTTACACTGGATATAAGAATCTTGTCAATTGTCACTAGGCACCAACTTAAAAAGACTTGTAAAAATATTAGAAGTATATAATTAATTCTGTATCTGTTGCTTGTCCTTTGTAAGCGATTGTATGTTATGACCATAGGCGGTTCAGCTGCCAAATTATTTTTTAATGATCTAAAAGTAAAGTGCTATTTAAACATCTGTCTAAAAAGAAAAAACTGTCATGATCTTTTTTTATTTTTTCCTTTGGGAGAACATTCTAGTTGGTAAGTTTATTACCTTTTAAAATGTGCTTGGCACTTGCCTTAAACAGCACAAACATATTGTGCACATCTTTAAATTATTTTAACTGGCAGAAAAGAATTACATTTTAAACTAAAATTGAGACCTCTTACAAAAATTAAGGCTCTCTTTTGTAAAGTTTATAAAAGTAAATTGGATGCAATTAGCAAAAAACAAAAAAACTGAATTAATAACATTTTGTAAGTAATAAAACAGCATAGTTTGGTCTTCTAAGAAATAAGGAGATTTTCTCCATGTAAATTATAATTTAATCTCTGTTTAATTTTGAACTATATTATGTTGAACCCTGTATCATATTGAATGTCTATATTGAACCCTCTAAATGGAATGATCACCTTCAGTTAAGGACTACCACTATAACAATACTTAACCTAAATATTTAAAATAAAAATTAACTTTTTTTTCTTGATAAATAAAGTACAACTTTGTCAAAAATTACTGCCTATATGTGTATTATTGTATTAGTACTATTTTTTAAGGTACAGATGCGTTGGTGTGAAATGTATATAGAGTGAGAAAATACAAAGGAAAGTGGAAGATTAGTCAGAAGCAGAATTTAGAGTTAGTTTTGAAAAATGACTTTGTAATGTGTGAGTTCCAGCACATCCCACCATAAAAACCCAGAGGAACTCAGAAGAAAGCTGGCTAATTTGGGATGATAGACATTTTGCACTGATGTTGATAAACAGTAAATAAATGTTAGGACAAGGATACATGTGGTATAAGGGTTGGTGGGAGGAATGAAAAGCTTAGCTGTGTAATTTATCATCCATAAACCATTTTGTAATGTTGAAAGATTAGGTTTCCTTATTGATAGTATTGAATCCCACAGTTTCCCTGAATATTAATGGGTCAAAAAATTTTACTGTATTATGGAATATTAACCCAGGACAGTTTTTGATTCTCAGATGTATGTGATGATGCCAAGTAACATTATTTTCTATGTTGTTTACTTGTGGGGCTTTTGTTTTTACAAATTATTTTGTTAAAAAAACTCAATAAAATTTATTGCTGTTACGCTTTTTTTTTTTTTAATGTGCTTTATTTTTGGCTCTGCTGAAATAAAAACTGATGATTTTTCAAAATAATTTTTATTATTTTCCTGGAAGGAAAATTAGATAACTGTGCTATTTACATTTTAGTAGAAAAAGTCTGTTTAAGAATTGGCAGCAAGGCTGATGTTTGTGAATGGAGTAAGCTTAAGTGTCAGTAAATTCTTATGAGTTTGACCTGGTAATGCCTTTCCTAGACCTTTTGGAGATAAACATGTTTGTCTTGTTTTTAAACATTTGTTGTTAGCTGCTGTTGAGTTGGCACCTGACTCATAATGATGCAGTGCACAATAGGATCGGACCGTCATGATCCAGAGGGTTGTCACTGGCTGATTTTTGGAAGTAGCTTGTCAGGCCTTTCTTCCTAGTCTGTCTTAGTCTGGAAGCTCCACTGAAATCTGTTCAGCATAATAGCAACACAAGCGTCCACTAACAGATGGTCGGTAGATGTGCTTGAAGTATATTGGTTGAGAATTGAACCCGGGTCTCCTGCATGGAAGATGAGAATTTTCTGCCACTGAACCACACCACTGTCCGTTTCAACACTTACGTCTTTCATTTTAGTCAAACATGGATACCTCAGAAGACTTTGGGACCCGAAAGAGCATCATGCAATTCTGATATGGCTACATTTATAAAATGCTGTGGTAGCAGTTTTCAAATTGCTATAAATTTGTAATGTTACTTTGTTCTTTGCGAAAAATAATTCCTTTTGGACCTTAGAGATTAGGAAATAAGGATTTCTTATACATTGAGCACGACAGTACTGATTTTTTTTCTTTTTTGCAAACCTGCTTTCCCTAACTTCCCTTTTTAATAAAATAATTTCTCTAACAATTGTATTCAAAATATGTACTTTTTTTTAAACAAAACATTGCCAATAGAGAGCAAAACCCAAAAACCCACTGCCGTCGAATCAATTCTGACTCAATGTAACCCTGTAAGTCACAGCAGAATTGCCCCATAGTGTTTCCAAGGCTGTAAAGCTCTACGGAAGCAGACTGCTGCAGCTTTCTCCCACAGAGCAGCTGGTGGGCTCAAGCTGTCGACCTTTTGGTTAGTGGCTGAGCGCTTAACCACTGCACTGCCACCAGGGCGCCTAGAAAGAGAGCAGTGTAGTGACATCTCTGTTACTGAAAATAAGGCATCACAGTGTCACATCTTGTTATCAGAGTCGGGAGATTTCACAGGATCAGAGAAGTGGAATGTGCTTCAAACATGTCAGTACTAATAGTAATAACACCTGGTCTTAGAAAACATGAAGTGGCCATCCCTCAGATAATCATGTCCCACAGACTGTGGTCTGCGGCGAATATCTAGTTATGACAGCTGGTAGAAGGAGTCTAGATTCTAGGCTAGAATCTGGCTAAGTATAGGCTTTAAGTTGTCTGACCTGCACAGTGATGTTTATTATTTGCATCCTAATGCCTTTAGAAGAAACCACTCTTCCTTTGGCCACGTGCACATTCCCTACATGGCCAGGAATCACACCTCTAGCCTGATCCCTAAAGGCCTCATTTAAACATACACTCCTATTTTCGACACCATTATATTAAAATGGGAGTCCCTGGGTGGTGCAAACGGGTAACATACTCAGCTACTAACTGAAAGGCTGAAAGTCGAAGCTCACTCAGAGGCACCCGAGAAGAAAGACCTGGTGATCTACTTCCAAAAAATCAGCCATTGAAAACCTGTGGAGCATAGTTCTACTGTGGAACATACGGGGTTGCCATGAGTCAGAGTTGACGGAATAGCAGCTAGTTTGGTTTATGTTCAAAGGAGATGTGTTCTGAAGCCTGACAAGAGACCTAAGATAACTTCCTCCTCTGATGTCATTACTCTGCATGAATAGCTTTTCACAGCTACAGAAAAAGAGAACAACTTTCCAATTTCCTCACTATGGAAGCCAAGTTGCATAAGACCATTCTTCTAACCTTAGTTCCTTTTGTTAAAGGTCCTTTGGGTTGAATTTGCTTAGAGAACACCTAGGGATTGTGAAGTCTTGATTTCAGACACCCTATTGTTTCCACACCCTCCGCCCCTTGCTCCAAGAACCTGAAAACATACACTTTCCATCCTGACAGTATTTCTTTAACTAGACAAATCCTTTTAACACTTAGAGATGGAAAAGTAAATCATATGAATAAATTCGTCAACCACATCCACCAGCTAAAGTTGAATGAACCGAGTATAAATGACAAATATCTTTTTAACGGATGAATCTACTGAAATCCTGAAGCCTTACCGTTAAAGAGAGGCTCACAAGGATGTAAAATGGAAAGACTGGATAACTAAAGTCAGCCTTTGATGTTTATTCCCAAAAGTGTGAACACATAGATATTACACACTAAATTACATTTGTCATTTATATCTATGCTTAATCACAGTTTAGGATTCTAAATAATATTAACCATTGTCTATTTTTTAAAAGTCAGTCAACACCTATGAAAACATAGCCTCAATGTAGTTAGAAAATACAGTCTCAAACTCATTAATACAAATGAGCTAAGAGTAAATACCAGTGCATTTAAAATTAACTCAAACAGCTAAATGAATAAAGAATTGTTATGTCAATATGAAGTATCAATTCAAAATAACTCCTTTTAGGGGAAAAAATTGGTTTCCAATACTGATTGTATCTAAACTTCAAAAGAATGACCTTACGAATATCTGATAATATTGATTATGATCTAAACGTGTGTTGACTATAATCAAAGCATATATACATGTTTATTTTTGTTACATAAAGTAGGTCAGATAAACATTATCAGCAGATTCCTATTCAAAACGCAGAAAAGTCACTATTCTAGATTTGTTTTGCATTACAGGTTGTTTCTATTTGCAAGATTCAAAGAAGCACATTCCTATAAATTGAATAAATACACTCCTTGCAACACAAATCCCTGAACTGAAAATCTCAATAGTATAGCAAACTTAGTTATTAATAAATCAGATTCTAACTAATTGAACCAAAAGTTATAACTTTTTGTGACAGAATCCCACTGAAGGTTTTCTGTATTGTGTCATTTCAAAAAGTAGATTATTAAATTAGGCACCCTTCAAGTTTGTAACCACTGTTAACAATACACCCATTTAGTCACTTAACAGATATTGCATGCCTACTCTCTGTGAACACTTTCCCAGGCACAGAACAAACAACAGCAATCAAGCCAGACACAGTGCCCGCCCTATTGCAGTTTACAGACTAGTGGTTTGGGTCCCAAGAATCCATGCAGCATATTTTCTATAGCTAAATACCAACAAATCTAATGTCTGTGAAGAATAAAAAGTGCATAAATTAGTATTTCTACAAATCTCTGAAAACGCTTCTTTGGGTTCTATGCCCTAAATACTGGCTTCAAAGGAGTCAATTCTGATTGAAGTTTATTCCTAAATTCAATAATAAATTTTCAGGCACCTCTGGCTCTTAAATTAAAAACTTTGTTAGTTCAAAGAAGCTGTTAGAGTTGATGGTAAACGGGACAGTGGTAAATGAATTTTCTAAGGGCATTTTCCCTGGAGGTGTGTGTGTGTGTGTGTGTGTGTGTGTGTGTGTGTGTGTGTGTGTGTGTG